GGGCGGCGGGCCTGGGGCTGGGGCGCGGCGTCGGGGGGCTGGGGGGCCCTGGCCGGTTAGGTAGGTCAGCCAGTCCGCGGGCTCGTCAGGGCTTGGCCCAGGGCCGCGGCCACGGAGCCGGCGGCGAGCTGCGCCAGTTGGCGGCAGGACAGCCTACACTCTGATTGTTTCCGCAACTCCATCATGAAACTACGCTAGACCCAACTTAAAATGGGACGCAGTATCCTTAACAGCAAGACGGTTAGAACGATAACCGGTAGGAAGCCACAACGGCCTTTCACCTCGTCAGCCCGGAGGCCTGACAATCGTCGTCCCAGGCGACGGCGTCAAAGGCGACATTCTCCCACCAATGCGTAATATACACGGCCTTGCGGCTAATGATATACATCGTGGTACACCCATGGAGACCCTCGACTCCGGTGCTGAACTCGGTCTATTGAGCACGGCTGAATTCATGCATTATCGCCGCACTCGTATCAGTCGCTCGTTTGCAACTCTTCTTGAACACGATCTGCTTTGTGCGCTTGGGCATTGCTTTCTCGTATTATACTCCCAATTTATCACCCGGCAGCACCATTCTTTTGGCCAGGTCCTTGGTCCCCGCCGCGGCCGTCGTCCTAATCGTGCTGGTAACATTCCTTTCAAGTCGGAGAAATCCTACGCTGCCTTCGCCGCTGCATCTGCCGCTGCAATACCCACGGCGCTTGCTGCTGCTACTGTCGCTGTCATCAACTATCTTGATAGATTGGTCGCGGTAGTGTCAGCCCGTTTCGCGACGAGGCCGGACGGGGATGTGCCTTCTGCCAGTTTGAGTCGGCCATTGAATAACGGGGTTGCAGAGACTGCAAATGCAAGCCATGCTAGAAGTATCCACAAGGCTCTCATGACCGTTCAGGTGCGCTGGCCAGTAAAGAAACCTGCACTGTGTAGTGAATGATTGGATGAGTGCGTATGGGCGAGTGTGGAAGAGGGAGTAGGTAGTTTAAGGAACGGCTCTGGATAGAGCAAGGGAGGGAAAAACAAAGAAGGAAGCGAGTATATCGCGAAGGGATTGAAACTTAGTAAGAGAGGGACAGGGAGAGAGACGCAAACATCACTAGAAAGAGAGAAAAAGATATAAGGGAAATTCAATATAAACTGGCAGGATATATAGTAGGAAGATTGCAAAATTCTGGTAGAATACTGAGTCACGGCATCCCTGCCTAAACCAGGAAGAAACCCCCACTTCGACATTTTGACAAGATATCTGTATATTTGGAAGAAGCGAGGCGAGTAAGGTCAGTTGCACCTCACGCTTAGTCCACAGGCTGAATTTTACGAGAGTAGGAGGTTTAGCAAGACTAGGGCTAAGATATAGTTAGGTACCGTAAGGGATACTTCGGCTAATGCTCGGACTTATCCCAAGACGCTTGTACCAATTGTGAATGATGGGTGGTATTGTACGTATTTTGTAGTACTTTGAAAACCTCACCATATACAATGAATCTGTTGTACCAGTCTTTTTAGTATTCTACAGTCGAAGTCAGCTTCCATGGGAAACTAGCCTAGTTCTCCGAGCTCATACCAGCCGACGCGCCGGCGGATCGCCTGTAAGGGTACGATTCTGTCACGCCTTCTTAGTCCGTTAAGATCAATGAGTGGGGTTAAGACCATCAAAGGGCCAAAGGCTTGATAGTATGTTGGCTAGCTGTCAATGGTTTCACTTTAGTAGATCCGTAGCGTCCCAGGGTCTCAGATCAATTTTCGGTTCTGACATACAACCCGGAAAGTTCAGGAACCGAACCCCGCCGCAATCTCCGGCCTGAGAAGTTAGACCGGGCTTACTCCGTCTGGATTAGTCGCCATCAACGGTTTTCACTGCTTTTTCAATGTGCTTAGTGGGGATGTTAAAGATGTACGTAGAGTCCAGTACAGGGCTTAGTGTGCTTGGAAATAATGCCGGCAGAAATTTGTGTTTGCCGAGGGGCTTTGAAGGGGCTTTGTAGTGTGCTGTAATGATTCTGTCTTCAGTCGCAAAAAAAAAAAAAAAACATCCTACAATTGGCTTGTGGTCCCACAAGATGGCGAGAAAAGGGTTGGGGGTTGCTCAACAGAAACTGAATACAGACTCCGCCACAGAAGAAGATTAAGTAGCTAGATAGCTTTATAGTAGACCTGGTATTTGTGCCACCCTCTTTGCTTGCCTGACTAAAAGGCCATCACTGTTATCCAGTAGTTCTTACAGCTAGTTCCTAGGTTTCATCTGGAGTAAGTTTATGCCCCATATTTTATAAACACGATTTCTATTCAATAAAACCTAGAGAAAAGCTGTCAAAGACCGACGTGGGACGAGGGAATAAATCCAGGCATACCAGTAATGGACTGGATGAAGGAGGGGCAGCCCTATCTACTTCTAAGATAATAAATTCAGATTATACAAAGCGGTAGTATCTTTCATTGCTCACAAGACTGAATAAGCTCATGTTCTAATCAGGAAGTTGACTTAGTTCGACTCCGTGTTCGGCTGCTAACACTACCATTATTTGCGGTGTTTTTCTGCTCTTTCTTCGGGGCATTTTTGGTTTTTCTAGCCGGTGCTCTCACCACCCGTGCTCTATAAGCCATTAAACCCGCTTCGGCATCTTCAGAAATCTGCGACTTTTTCGTGACGGTAGTATGCTGCTTGTTGATCTTCCATTTCGTCGCTGAGGTAGTATGGCCGATTTGTGTATCAGTAAGGAGCTTGAGTATCCGCTGACATGTATCTTTCATGCCAGAACTTTCAGAACATCTCCGTAACCGCGATTCGGCAAGCTCTGTAGGGCTTCGATTACCAAATTTCGCGCACTCCGATCGAGCCATCGGATCTGCGCCAGCAGCCAGTAGAGCCTCGATAGCCTGCTCATGCTCGAACAGGACCGCGGCATGTAAAGGCGTGCCCCATTCTGCGGAGGTCGTGGCATTCGGATCGAGACCCTTGGAAAGAAGGAATTGAGTCTTGATTGCCGAATTCGTGCCCCAAACAAGAGCATTAAAGAAGAGCCCGGAGTCCAACTTCGCCCCATACTCCACAAGCAGATCAAACACGGCTCCGCCGTCCTTGTGAACTTTACCGAGAGCGCTAATGAGGGGGCTTACTTTCCTCGGGCCGCAGCGGTTGGGATCAACGCCTAAACAACAACTTCGCGAAGAACCTAGTTTTTGAAATTACGCCACCACAACACGCCCCAAAGCTCCAAAAATTCGCCAGTTTGCCAATAACTGCAGCCGCTTTCGTTTGACCCCAAATTTGTGAGGTCTTTCGAGGCATGGCGCCTGCAGCGCGCGAGTGGCCGGAACTGGCCGCCCGCGGGGGCACCTGGCCAGGGGACCACCCACAGGACCGCGCCATGAACATTCTACACGACAACAGGAACCTGCTGGAACACGCGAAAGCCCACTCGAAGAGCATCGCGACGCCCGTCCGGGACCATCTGACCCACGTCGGCGCCTTCCTCGCCGAACTGCTGAAGCACCCTCCCGGCGCCGACTGGTGGGCGTCGCACGAGGCCCTCCACCGCGAGGTGCGAGATCTACGCGCCAACATGAACCAGCACTTCAAGACCCTCGAGATCTCGACCAAGGGCCTGCCCTCGATCACGTCCTGGGCGGCCGCGGCCCGAAAGGCCCCTCCCCCGACCTCCGCATCGATCTCCCACGCGACGAACAGCACCGAGCCTGCAAGCCCCCCCGAGCTCCGCGACGCCGACAAGGTGATCGTGAAGCTCGGGTCTCCGGCCATGGTCAAACGCTACCGCGGCTACAAGCCGGAGAGGATCCTACACGACACGGAGCAGGCGCGGCGCCGGCTGGCGATGGCCGAGGGCTCCCTCCCTCTGGCGGGCGTAAAATTCTGCGCGGCGCGGCAACTCATGTCAGGTGACTTGAGCCTCACCCTACGGTCCGCTGCGGAGGCGGAGGTGGCCCGCCGCCACCCCGCGTGGGCCAAAGCCCTTGACCGGGACGCGGTGATCCGCCGGCCCACGTACGGGGTGGTCGTCCACGGCGTCCCCAGGGGCTCTGCGGACCTCGCCCACGACCAGGAGGTGATCATCGACCGACTGGTGACGCAGAACAGCCACTGCTGGGGAGAGAAGGCCGAGATCGACCGGGTCAACTGGCTCGCGGGTGAACCCAGCAAAAGCCACGGCTCGTTCGTGATCGAGTTCGTGGATCCTGCGACGGCGAACAAGGCGCTGGACCGGGACGTCATCTGGGAAAGCATGTCTCTCGCGACGGAGTTCTACGACAGGTCCCTGCGGATCCGTCAATGCTTTAAATGCCAGAAATTTGGTCACATTGGAAGCGCCTGCCCTAGTTCAAAGCCCAAGTGCGTCCACTGCCTCGGCGCTCACGCGGCCCGTGAGTGCCCGGACAAGGGAAGCATCAAGGAACCGAAGTGTGCCAACTGCGTGGGCGCGCATCTGGCATGGAATAAAGACTGCCCCAAGTGGGTGGAGCAGCGGGCGAAGGCGATGCAGTTCGATAACAAGAACCGCCGCCACCCCGTACGCCGGCCGGCAGTCCCCCCGGAGTCAGTCCCGGGGGCCCAGATCGCCCAACGGAACACCTCGCTCCCCACCCCTGCCTCCGGGGGTAGCGGCCCCGAGGTGGAGATGCGAGACGCGGGGGAGCTGACACCGGCCGAGGCAGCGTCGGTGCCGCGAATCACGCGCAGCCAGAAGCGCAGGGGAACTGGGGGAAACGCCTTGCCCCTTGGGGCGAGGCTAGTTGACAGCCAGCGGGCCCACCAACCAGCGAGGCTCACCGGCGACGCAGACCGAGGGTCTACCAGCGAGGACCAGGGGGAGAGCGACAGGGCTGAGGTAACCTCTGCCGCAAGCCAGTTGGCAAGCGAGCTGGCCTACGAAGCAACCGGTCAATCTGAGTTGAGCTCGCTCACCGAGGTGTCAACCGCGGGCGCCAGCGGTGAGGGCTACCACGCAGCCCATCTGCTAAAGCAGTTCCGCCAACCGGCCAAGCCTAACCGACTGGCCAGACGAATCACCCGATCCATGTCGGCAAGCGAAACCAACCTTACTAACCGGTCTGATCCTTCGAGGATCTCCCTGGTTCTCACCACCACCGAGCAAGCAACCAGCGAACGCGGCCGCAGCCGCCAGTCGACCAACCGGTCACCGATACTCACCTCTGGCAGATACGCCGCGCGCCAACCGGCAAGGCAGAGGGGTGAGAGAACTGAGGAAGTTGAGGAGAGTATGGAACGGGCGCGGTCCCCGAGAAAACGAGTTCGCCGCGAATCAACCGGCGAGAGCCCAAGCGCGATCATCTACGACCCAGCCCGCCGCAGAAGATCGAAGCCGGTTAGCAGATTAACCAGCATGTCGACCAGCCAATTAAACCAAGAAACCCGAGCCAATTCTTCCCATGAATAAGAAACCATTCCGATTCATACAGTACAATGTCAACCGGTCAAAAGACGTCGTCATGGCCCACTTCCTGCGTGAGCCGGGGGCGGCGGACGCCGACCTGATCTGCATCCAGGAGCCATGGGATAATCCGTTCCAGAACACCACGCACCACCCTCTCGGGCGAACCCACCGGCTGCTCTACCCGTCAACCGACGAGCGAGCCAGGGTCTGCATGTTTATCAACCGACGAATTAGCCAGACCAGTTGGCAGCATATTGAGCATACACGCGATATCCAAGAACTCCGCCTCCACACCGCATGCGGAAAAATCATCCATATTCTGAATATATATAACTGGGAAGGCCGAAGCGCCATGGAAGAACTCAACCAGTTAGTCCCTGCCTCTGCAGACCGACTGGCCAACGAAGAGTGGCTGCTACTCGGAGATTTCAACCTCCACCACCCGTGGTGGGGAGGGGAAGAGATTCAAGCAGATCCACAGGCAGAGGACTTACTCACGCTCATCGACACCGCGGACTTGGATATTCTTGGCAACGACGGGGAGGTGACATGGGAGAAGGAAGGCAGGGGGTCGACTATCGACCTAGTCTTAGGCACGCAGGGCATCTCTCACCGGCTGGTTAGCTGCCTCGTCGACGAGAGACACCATGCCGATTCCGACCACCTCCCGATTAAAACCACCCTCGATTTCAGCACCCCCGAGGCCCCCGCAACGCCCCGAAGGGCCTGGGCAAGCACCGACACCGCCAAGCTTCGAAAATTCGTGACCGAGAACCTCTACCAGGCTCCGTGGACGCGCCTCTCCGGGGCGTCCTCAAGCAAGCAGCAGATCGAACACGCCACCGACCACCTAATCGAGACAGTCCAGCAAGGCATCCAGCTAGCGACACCGTGGGCCAAGCCGAGCGCGTGGGCTAAGCCAAGCTTTACCCCAGCCTGCCGGGAGGCAGTCAAGGAAACCCGCCGGGCCTACCGCACGTACCGGAGGAACACCTCTCTCGAGAACTGGCAGCGCTATACTATTCTACGTAACCGAAAGGGGAAGATCTTTAAGAAGGCCCTCAGGCAGCACCACCGCGATACGGTTAAGCGAGTGGCCGAGGCGGGCCCGCGAGGGCTCTGGCGCTTGGCCAAGTGGGCGAGGAACCGCGAGAGAGACGAGGGCATCATCCCGATCCTCAAGGGGCCGGACGGCCCGGCTGAGACCATGGAACAGAAAGCCGAAGCCTTTCGGCAAGCCTTCTTCCCGCAGCCCCCTGAGGCTGACCTTACCGATATCGCTGCCGCAAGGCTCCCGAAGCCGATCAATTTCCCCCCGATTTCGACCACCGAAGTGGCTGACGCGATCCGAAGGGCGCCCCCCGACAAAGCCCCCGGCTTCGACGCGATCCCGAACCGCATCTGGCACTGCCTCGCACCTGAGCCCGTCTTTATCGACTGCCTAACTAAGATTTTTGACGCCTGCGTGCGAGCCGGGCACAACCCGGCACACTTCCAAAGGTCGATCACCGTCGTGCTTAGGAAGGGTGGCGGCCGCGACTATACTCTCCCCAAGTCATACCGACCAATCGCGCTGCTGAACACTCTCGGTAAGTTACTGGAATCGGTGGTAGCTAACCGAATTGCCTACGCCTGCGAGGAGCACGGGCTGCTTCCGAGGACTCACCTCGGTGGCCGCAAGGGCATCTCAGTCGACCATATAATACAACTAATTCTGGACCGGATCCGCCGCGCATGGGGGGATGACCGGGTGGTAAGCATGATCCTCCTCGACGTGGCCGAGGCGTACGACAATGTCAGCCATGCTCGCTTGATACATAACATCCACATGGCCCGGCTGGGCCAGTTAGCCCCGTGGATTGAGGCCTTCCTCAAGAACCGGACAACACAGCTACGCATGCAGGACTTCATCTCCGGGGTGCTCCCCACCCCGAACGGCATCCCCCAGGGTTCACCGATTTCGCCGATCCTCTTTCTTCTCTTCAATACGCCCTTAATTAAGGGGGTAAGTGTCTGGCGGGCCCTGCCCGACCAACTGGAGGCCTTCGGATGGGTCGACGACGCCATGATTCTCGCGATCTCGAGGACATACGCACGGAACAAGCAACTACTCGAGCAGGCTCTGGCCCGGGCAATGCAGTGGTCCAAGCGGCACGCCTCCACCTTTGCCCCCGGTAAGTTTGAACTGATCCATTTCCGCAACCCGCGTGCGACCACCGAAATCGACTACCGCGAACTCGGCGAACTCCCTGAAACCGATACGTGGGAAGGCACCCGCGAAGAGGTTTGGGAGGGCCATGACCGCCTCACCGTCGAGGTTCCAAGCGAGCCGCCGGTGACCATTAAACCGAGCGGGTCAGCCCGCTATCTCGGGGTCTGGCTCGACAAGCACCTCACATTTGAGACGCACCGCACTAAAGCCATCGCGAAAGCGAGTGGCAGCCTCGAGGCCCTGCGCGGCCTAGCCGGCTCGACCTGGGGGGCCTCGCTGCAGCTTATGCGGCAGGCCTACCGTGCAGTGGTAATTCCCCAGCTCTTCCGGGGCATCTCCGCATGGTACTGCCCGGCAGGCAATATCACGAATGCAAGCGAGCGGACAAGGGTCGAACTCGCCTTTGCTCAAATCCAGAGGCGAGCAGCGATCCTGATCAGCGGCGCCTTTAAGGGCACCGCAGCTGCGGCACTCAATGCCGAGCTCCACCTAATACCGATCAAATGGCTCATGCAACGCACAATCGAGGAAACCGCGATAAGAATCCAGACCGGACCCCGGTTCACTCGTCCCCAGGGCTTGCTCCGAGCTCGGTCGGCGAACCAAAAGCAACTCGGGGGCACCACGCCCCTGGAAGCGCTACGGTGGGGAAGGCGAGCAGCACTCAGCCTGCCCCCGGGCCGAGAGTGGGAAGAGAGAGTCGCATTTGCATGCCCCCCGTGGCAGCCGCGTGTCCGGGTGACAATCGGGAGCCGCAAGGAAGCCTTGGCCGAGCATGACAGGGTATGCCAAACTGGCTCGGCCGTGGCATACACGGACGGCAGTGGCTTCGAGGGAGGTATTGGGGCTGCCGCGGTCAGCCTACGCAGCGGAGGCTACGAACGAGGCAGCCACCTCGGCACCGACGAGGACTCCACGGTATACGCAGGGGAATTACGAGGAATTGAACTGGCGCTGCAGGCGGAGATACCACGTTCCCCCCAGGCGATCCACGTCTTCTCAGATAGCCAAGCCGCACTCAGGGCCGTGGCTAATCCAGGCCGCCCCTCAGGCCAGTTCATTCTTCGAGATATCTACAAGTCAGTTAGCCAACTGGCCACGGTTCAACTACATTGGGTGCCCGCGCACATCGGGGTGCCTGGGAACGAGGCAGCTGACGAGGCGGCTAAGCGAGCTGCTCACAGAGTCAACTTAGACTCAGCAGGGCGTGACGTCGAATTAAGCTCAGTGGGGCTGGACCCGGTGGTCCGGCTCGCAGCCGCAGCCAAGCGAGCAACTCGCACCAGGTTCAGAATCAAGTGGGAAAGGCAGTGGGCGAATGAGCGTGTGGCGGCTCCGACACGCAGGCTGATCAAAGCCCTGCATAAGAGGAATCTGGACCTCTACAATGGCCTGACGAAGGCTCAGGCGGCGGTGGTGATCCAGCTCCGCAGCGAGAGGATCGGTTCGGCCCACTTCCTGTGGAAAGTCAAGGCACACGACACCGGGAAGTGTACGTGTGGGGATTACCAGCAGCGGCAGACACCAAAGCACGTGCTGCTTGAGTGTCCCAG